TTGTCATGTTATTTCCCTGTTGTTGGCTCCCCCTCTTTTTTTCCTCTCCCTCTGTTTAATTGTTTGCTTTGCCTGGTAGGTTCCTTCTGCTGGGGGTTCATGGAGCTGTAGTCCTTGTTATCTCTTTCTGGAATGTCCTTCAAAACATTTTGGATTGTGTTTGGTGGTCATAAATTTGCTCAGCTGTTCTTTGTCATGGAAGTATCTTATTTCTCCCTCAGTTTGAAAGGTAGTTTTGTGGGGTGCATCAGTCTGGGTTCAAGGTTGTTCTCCTTTAGAACTTGAAATACTTCACTCTGAGCTCTCCTTGACTTGCAGGTTTGTGCTGAGAGGTCAGCTGTGATTGCGATGGACTTTCCTTTATAGCTGATCTGTTTCTTCTCCCTGACAGCTTGTGAGATTCTGTTCTTGAGTTGAATTTCTGGGCTCTTGACTATGATATGCCTGGCTGTAGATCTTTTTTATCATGGCTAATTGGCATTCTATACGCCTCACTTACTGTATGTCAAATTCTTTTTCCCTATCAGGGAAGTTTTCTGCCATGACATCTGTGAACAGTTTTTTTTTATGTCATTTGTGCTATCTCCTGCTTTTCATTGATTTCAATCAATCTTGTTATTCTTCTTTGCATCAACTAGCAGCTGCTAGATTGATTCCTCATGGTCTCTTGCTGTTTTTAAGAAATCTTTCATTTCATGATCACTAACCACAAGCCTGTCTTTTATATCTGAGATCCTGTCCTCACAGTGGCTTAATCTGCTGTGGATACTTTCAATAGAAATTTTTATTCTCCTGGATAGCTGCTTGAATCTGTCCTATGGATTACTTTTCCTTCCTATGTTGAGCATTCATGGCTTCCATAAATTTCTTAAGCTCCTCTATTTTTTGGTGTGTATCTGCTCTAGAGTCACTAAGCCTGGTTTTCATTGTGGGCACCACCTCTGCAGTTATCTGAGAAATTATTTCTGATTTGATCTTTTCTAGAGCCTCAGTCAATTGCTTTGTTGTTCCCACTTCAGAGAGGCCAGGTGGGTGGCTTTGGGATTGTTCTACCTCATTTCCCTCTGGGTTGCCTTTGGTGAACTGGATGTCTGGGGTTGCATCTTCTTCAATTGTATTCTCATTTTCTTTTCTTTTTTAGTTTAATTCCTCGAGTCATGCTTCTAAAATGCCTATGGTGGGTTACTTTATTGCTAGCATTTGGAACTTTTAGGAAATGATTACTTCTCTGAGGTATCTTCCAGGTGTAGGTTGGTTTTTAGATTTTGAATCTGTTGCAAGATCCTATGTCTTCAATTTGGTGGGGATGAGAAGTTGCCTGTTTGGCCCAGCCCCTGGCTCTTTGGCACTGTGCCACAGTATTTTTCTGTGACCTTATCTAATCTCAGTCTGGGAATACCAGGAAGAACAGCTGTTTAGAACAATTATGTAACTTTTGGCTACAGTGATACCATCAATGACGATAGCATTAAACACAGCCTAGAAAATGACGAACTGAGGTAGACATTAATTTGCCACCTTTAATCATATGAAATAGATTTGTGGTTATGTAACAAAATCTAGAACAGACCAGAAATTATATGCAGTATACAAGTCCTTAACATGTTAATTTTGCCCTCAGGGGTTAAAATTTAAAGTGGGTTATGGAGAAAATAGAGAAATGGAAGAAGAGAAAGAGATTAGAAGTAAGGCTAGAGGACAAATGGGAATCATGTTAACCTTGGAAAACTGGTGCAGAAGACTGGAGGGAAAGAGTGAAGGGACAGATAAAAAGAAGAACAGAACAAAGCCACAACCACAACGAGGCTAGAAAACACATTCATACTCATATAAAAATGAGAACAAACAATGAAGGAGAAAAAAACAAAAATAGAAAAAAAATAACAAAACAAATGAGACAGAGAAAAAGAAAGAAAGAAAAAAGCCCACTTCCAGGTATGTCACTACTGTCACTAGTAGACAGTGTGTGGAGACAAGGTCCCTATCTGTGTTGATCTATCCCAGCAAGCAAGCAGTAGCTTTTTCACAGGGTAGTGGATAATCTCAGCAAGCCTGCACCTTCTGGCTGAGACCAGGCTCATTTGGCCTGTAGTCATCAGGGCACATTCCACGGGCTTCAGCACAGCCGGGAGCTGCTGGATGGAGCCAGCAGCCACTCTGAGTTCTGAGCTCAGTCAGCCCCTCTCCAAGATGGCTCTTGGCCAATTGCTGTCTTGTGAGGGACAAGTGAGCCCTTAGCACTTACCACCAGCTAGTGCAGTCCTCCATGTCCACTTCTGTGTCTCTCTATGAAGGCCTCTGGGGTTGCCAGCAGTCACTATGTGTCTGCAAATTTGAATTGCTCCTCTTGTGCAGTGAGTCCTCTCTCAGGGAGAAGGTGCCACAAGCTACTTCCTTCTTCTCCATTGAAGTTTCTCCGTTCACTCTCTCTGTGGGCTTCAATTCATGCCAAAAATCTTTCTTGGGTACAGGGAACCCATTTCACTCCTTCTCAGATGACATCAACCCTCCTTGGACCTTGTCTCTTAGAGTGATTCTACAGCACATTCTATGACCAAATAGGTCACTCTCCAATATAATTCTGGCCCATCAATAGCTCAACTTATGGTCTCATTCCAAGATCTTGATTTATAGCTGGGCACGGTGGCTCACAACTGTAATCTCAGCACTTGGGAGGCTGAGGCAGGAGGATTGCTGTGGATTCAAGACCAGCCTGGGTTACACAGTAAGTTCAAGGCCAGCCTGAACTACATAGCAAGACCCCATCTCAATGCCCCCCGCAAAAGATCTTGATTTAGAGTCAGGATACTTTACAGAAGAGCTTCAAATGATTCATGATGAGGAAGGAACTCAAAAGGGTCAGTGGTGGTATGTGGGACCCTGACTGTTCTTGACACAATGAGAGCCATGAAAAGCTATTAAGTCCCTATGTGAGCCTTCCACCTAGGATGAGATTGTACCAGCACTATGGCACATGGGCTCTGTGTAGGGCCTTGAGTCTATAACATTTTTACCCAGGTCTGTAAAGCATGTCCTGTCTGTGCCTTCCATAATAAGCAGACTTCCTCTCCTACTGTCTGAACTGATAAAAAGGCATGGAGTCTCTCCTGCAGAAGACTGGTAGATAAACTTCACCCGTATGCCTATGTGTACAAATACTTCTTGGTGTGCAGTGATACCTTTACTGGGTGCAGAGAGGCCTTCCCTACCAGGTCAGAACAGGCCTTGGAGATGGTAAAAAGTACTCCTTAAAACAGTGATCCCCTAGTTTAAGCTGCTCAGGTGTATCCAGAGTGGTAATGGACCATCTTTCACGTCCCAAATCCTGAAGACAGTCACCAGAGCACTGGAAATTAAATACCATCTCCATACTATCTGGAGACCCTAGTCATCAAGAAAAGTCAAGACAGTCAATCAAACTCTCAAGTAAACCTTAGCCAAGCTGTGTCAAAAACCCATCATAAGTGGCTAGATCTCCTTCCAATTGTCTTGATGAGATTTTGAGGTTTTGAGCAGCTCCCAATTTCAAATTTCAAACTTAACCTTAGTGCTCATTTGAAATGCTTTATGGAGGCCCCCCATTTTTCTTTCTTTCTTTCTTTCTTTTTGAGACAAGGTCTTGCTGTGTAGTTCAGGCTGGCCTTGAGTTCACTATGTACCCCAGGCTGGTCTTGAGTTCACAGTGACCCTCCTACCTCAGCCTCCAGAGTGCTGGGCTTACAGGCATGTGCCACCATTCCCGGCTCTAGAGGCCATTTTTTGTTTGTTTGTTTGTTTGTTTGTTTGTTTTTCTTCTGGTACGAGGAATCAAACTCACGACCTTGTGCTTGCCAGGCAGGCGCTTTGCCGCTGAGCTAAATCCCCAGCCCCTGGAGGCCATTTTTGACATCTGACTTACACTGAAACTTCCCAGCTCCTTTAACATATGATGCACTTGGGAACTTTCTGATGGACCCTCCAGGAACATGGAAATAAGATTCTTTCACTCCCAGGAGCTAACAAAAATTGTCATCCCAGTGTTCACCCCGGTGACCAGGTCCTAATCAAGACCTGGAAGGAGAGTGGATCCCAGGACCAAACCACACCCAAATGGAAAGGCTCTTACACAACCTTTCTAACCAATTAAGGATAGAGGGAATAGATAATTGGAGTCACCTCCCTAGGGTAAAACCCAAGCCTCCAAGGCCCCATAAAACAAAGAAGAGGGACCACCAACCTCATATACCTATGACCCACTAGTCAACCTCAAGTCTCCTTTCAGGAAAAAAAAAAAAAGACTACCCTGTTAAGCCAGATTAATAAAACTTTTGTTCCCTCTAAATAAATTGTGTGGCTAGTCTTACTACTCTTATTTACTACATTTGTGGTCCCTCTCCCAAGTTATGACTTCTTTAGGATTTGTTTCTTTTGATCCTCCTGATGATTCAAAAACTGCCTGTTATGAGATAATAAACAGTGATTTCTTACATAGTGAAGCCAGAAGATAGAGGAAGCTAGGCAGATAAGGTCTAAGTCCTGAATATTTAACCTGAAGTAAACTAAAAGTTAGGGCTTAAATGAGTTGATATACCAGAGAGCCCAAATCATTAGCTTAAGCAAACTGACTATCAGGGCCTTATGGAATGCAAGAGACAAAGAACAGGTCCCTGTACAAATGGAAGGAGGCCTGGAGGAAGTGAAGTGCAAAGGAAGAAGCTTGCTTTCTGGACATCAAAGGCCTACCAGCAACCAGGAACATCCCTGCATTCTGTCATATTCACATATACCAAAACTTTATAAAAAGCCAGTAGTCGGGGCTGGGGATTTAGCTCAGCGGCAAAGCGCCTGCCTGGCAAGTGCAAGGTCGTGAGTTCGGTTCCCGGTACCGGAGAAAAACAAACAAAAACAAA